AAAAAAAAAAAAAAGAAACCAAGCCAATTCCAAAATTGGTTGAGAAAAAAAAATAATAAAGATCAAAACAGAAACAACTGAATTTGAAATGAAGGAATCAATACAAAATATAAAGAAAATGAATTTTTTTAAAGATAAACAAAAGGGACAAATCTCTAGCCAGACTAAGTAAGAAAAAAAGAGAAAGACCCTAATAAATGAAATTAGAGATGGAAAAGGAGACATTACAACCAATACTGCAGAAATCAAGAAAGTAATCCCGTTTACAATAGCTACAAATAAAATAAAACAGCTTGGAATAAACTTAACCAAAGAAGTGAAAGATCTCTATAATGAAAACTGTGAACCATTGATGCAAGAAATTGAAGCAGACACACAAAAATGGAAATATATTTCATGTTCATGGATTGGTATTGTCAACATTGTTTAAATGTTTATACTAACCAAAGCAATCTACAGATTTAATGCAATCCCTATCAAAATACCAATGACTTTCATCACAGAAATTTTTTAAAATCCTAAAGTTTATGTTAAACCACAAAAGACCCAGAGTAGCCAAAGTCATCCTGGCAAAAAGAAGAAAGAAAACTGGAGGAATCATATTATGTGACTTCAAATGACACTACAGAGCTATAGTAACCAAGAAAGTATGGTACTGTAATAAAAATAGATACATAGATCAATGAAACAGAATAGAGAACCCAGAAATAAGCTCCTACATTTACAATCAACTCATTTTTGACAAACATACATTGGGAAAAGAACAGTCTCTTCAACAAATGGTGCTGGGAAGACTGGCTAACCATATGCAGAAATATGAAACTAGACCCCTATCTCTCACCAAATCAAATCAACATGGATTAAAGGCTTAAATCTAAGTCCTGAAACTATGAAGCTACCATAAGATAATATTAGGGAAGCTCTCCAGGACATTGGCGTGGGTAAAGCTTTCTTGAGCAATACCTCACAAGCACAAGCAACCAAAGCAAAAATGAGCAAATGGGATCGTGTTACGTTAAAAGGCTTCCACACAGCAAGGGAAACTATCAATAAAGTGAAGAGGAACTGGTGTGGTGGCTCACACTTGTAATAATCCCAACACTTGGGAGGCTGAATGGGAGAATTTGAGACCAGCCTCGGCAACACGGTGAGACCTCGTCTTTGTAAAAACAAAACAAATAAACAACAAAGTAGCCCGGTGTGGTGGCATGCCTCTATACTCCCAACTACTTGAAAGGCTGAGGTAGGAGGATTTCTTGAGCCTGGGAGGTCAAAGCGGCAGCAAGCCAAGATAGCACCTTGGCACTCTAGTGACAGAGCAAGAACCTGTCTCTAAAACAAACAAATAACACGTGAAGAGACAACTTACAAAATTGGAGAAAATATTTGCAAACTACTGATCTGACAAGGGGTTAATAACTGGAATATATAAGGAGCTCACACAATTCAATATGAAAAAAATCAAATAATCTGATTTTTAAATTTTTTATTAAACTTTAAGTTCTGGGATACATGTGCAGAATGTGCAGGTCTGCTACGCAGGTATACATGTACCATAGTGGTTTGCTGCACCCATCCACTAGTCATCTAGGTTTTAAGCCCCGTATACATTAAGTATTTGTCCTACTGCCCTCCCTCCCCATGCCACACACCTCTGACAGGTCCTGACGTGTGATGTTCCCCTCCCTGTGTCTATGTGTTCTCATTGTTCAACTCTCACTTATGAAAGAGGACATGTGGTGTTTGGTTTTCTCTTCCTGTGTTAGTTTGCTGAGAATGATGTTTTCCAGCTTCACCTATGTCCCTGCAAAGGACACGAACTCATTCTTTTTTATGGCTGCATAGTATTCCATGGTGTATATGTGTCACGTTTTCTTTATCCAGTCTATCATTGGTGGGCATTTGGGTTGGTTTCCAGTCTTTTCTATTGTGAATGGTGCTGCAATAAACATACATGTGCATGTGTCTTTATGGTATAATGATTTATGATCATTTGGGTATATATGCTATAATGGGATTGCTGGGTCAAATGGTATTTCTAGTCCTAGATCCTTGAGAAATCACCACACTGTCTTCCACAATGGCTGAGCTAGTTTACATTTTCACCAACAGTGTGAAACTGTTCCTATTTCTCTACATCCTCTCCAGCAGGTGTTCTAACAGACGTAAGATCGTATCTCATTGTGGTTTGGTTTGGATTTGCATTTCTCTAATGGCCAGTGATGAGTTTTTTTTCACATTTGTTGGCTGCATAAATACCTTCTTTTGAGAAGCATCTGTTCATATTTTTTGCACACTTTTCGATGGAGTTGTTTCTTTTCTAGAAAATTTCTTTAAGTTCCTTGTAGATTCTGGATATTAGACCTTTGTCAGATGGATAGATTGCAAAAGTTTTCTCCCATTCTGTAGATTGTCTGTTCACTCTGATGATAGTTTATTTTGCTGTGCAGAAGCTCTTTAGTTTAATTAGATTCCATTTGCCAATTTTGGCTTTTGTTGCAATTACTTTTGGTTTTAGTCATGAAGTCTTTGCCCATGCCTATGTCCTGAATGGTATTGCCTAGGTTTCCTTCTAGGGTTTTTATGGTTTTATGTTTAAGTCTTTAATCTATCTTGAGTTAATTTTTGTATAAGGTTTAAGGAAGGAGTCCAGTTTCAGCTTTATGCATTTGGCTAACCAGTTTTCTCAGCCCTGTAAATCATCTGATTTTTTAAAAAATAGGCAATGTATCTGAATAGACACTTCTCAAAAGAAGACACACAAATGCCCAAGAGTTGTGTTAAAAATGTGCTGAACATCACCGATCATCAGAGAACTGTGAATCAAAACTACAATGAGTTATCATCGTACTCCAGTCAAACTGGCTTTTGTCAAAAACAAAGGCAAAAAAAAAAAAAAAAAGAACCCTGGTGAGAATGTGGAGAAAGGGGTACCCTCACACAATGTTGGTGGGAATGTAAGTTAGTACAGCCACTATGGAGCACAGCATGCAAGTAAAAAACTGAAAATAGAACTATCATATCATCCAGCACTTCCTCTGCTACGTATATAGCCAAAGGAAAGGAAATCAGTTTATCAAAGTAGATCTGCATTCCCAGGTTTATTGCATCACTATGTCCTTCCACAGACAAATGGGTAAAGAAAATGTGGTACGTACACACAATAGAGGAATATTTAGCCATAAAAAAGAAACAGATCCTGTCATTTGCAATGATGTGAATGGAACTAGAGGACATTATGTTAGCTGAAATAAGCCAGGCACAGAAAGACAAATTTTGCATGTTTTCACTCATTTGTGGGAGCTAAAAATGAAAACAACTGAACTCAAGGAGTTAGAGTGTAGAATGATGGTTACCACTGGTGGGACAGGGTAGTAGGGAGTGGGTGAAGTGAGGATGTTTAAAGGGCACAAAAATACAGTTAGAATGAATAAGGTCTAGTATGTGATAGCACAAGAGGTGACTGCAGTCAATGGTAATTTATTGTATACTTTAAAATAATTAAAGGAGTGAAATAGAACGTTCGAACACAAAGAAATTATGAATACTTGAGGTGATGACCAAACCATTTACCCTGATGTGATTATTACACATTGTATGCCTGTATTAAATTGTCTTATGTAACCCATAAATATATATACTTAGTACCCATAAAATTAAAAAATTTTATTTTCAAAAGAAAAAAGCAAAAAAGCAAAGTACAATTTTTTATTGCTGATGTAACAAATCACCACAAATATAGTGGCTTCGAATAACACTAATTTGTTATCTTGGAATTCTAGAGGTAAGGAACCCAGAATTGGTTTTACTGAACTAACATTCAGAGGTTTGTAGTGCTACATTGTTTCCAAATGTTGTAGGGGAAAATCCCTTTACTTGACTTTTGTAGATTTTTTAGAGGCTGACTGTGTCCCCCGGCTCATGACCCCTCATTACTCCAATCTCTACATCCTTCTTTACTTCTCCAACTCTGACACTCCTGTGCCCCTTGCATAAAAATGTTTGTGATTACACTGGGCCCACCTGAATCATCCAGGATTATCTCCTTATCGCAAAACCCCTCATCTAGTCACATCTGCAGAATTTCCTTTGTCATATAAGGTCACATATTCAGATTTTGGGTATCAGGACATGGGCATCTTAGAAGGTCATTTATCAGTGGACTCCTCTTGTGTTTTAGTTAGAAGTTGGCATGAACTCCTGAAAACCACTCTTGAGAAAGTGAAGCTGCCTACTTCATTGACCGAGATATATCAGAAGTTTACAGGCAGACAGGTAAAGGGTCCAATGGGTTTGGATGCATAAATGCATTTAATTCTGCCCAGCAGGAACAGGTTTTATTTTAGAGATGAAAAGGATTCCCATAAGCTTATTTAACAACTGGAGGCTGGATCGGGCTGGCTGGTGTGAATACCCACCACTCTTTCTCACACACTCCAAGTTTTTTCTATTATTTTACTCTGCGCTTAAAAAGTTTAAATATTTTTGAATTAAGGACAAAGAACCATAGTCTGTAAATAACTCTAGAACTCTTTTTTAAAACAGCTAAAATGTTTTCATTACCCATTTAATAACACAAATAATATATGCAGTCAATGAACACTGAGAGAAATGAGGTACTAGGTTGCTGGGCTCAATACATCCCCGAAACAGGTATCTTATAGCTGTACCAAATTCTCTGCAGGCACGTATTTCTTTTAAGATGTGACACAAACACCCACAGAGTGTACTGAACACATTTGTATCTTTGCTCAATCTCTAGTTTAATATGATTTGCTATACAATCATGAAGTAATGTGAGATTCCCATAATAAAAACATAATATTATATATGCTAACTTGGCCTAAAATACGTATGCTTTCCAAAGAATTTTGATGTCGAATATTAGAAGGAAACATAAGTCGTATTAAAATATGATATTACCAGTATCTTAATGTTATTTTTCCTGGCTGGTTATTAACATAAAATATACATGCGAATATCCATCTTCTGAATGATATGAAATAATTTTTGGTCTGGCGGAAAACTGGTTTTATAATGTTGTTTTATTTGACTAAACATTTGACAGCACTATCTTGTTTCTGCACCTTTACAGAGTGTGTTGCTTTCATCTGCAATATTGAAGCCGTCGTACAAACTATGTCTCTGTTTTAGCATTGAAAGTTGATAAGAAAAGTGAAAAGCAACTATACTCTGAGGCCTTAACTTACAACTTGCACTTATAAATTGGGATGATATCTGATATGGTTTAGCTCTTTGCCCCCACCCAAACCTCATGTCAAATTGTAATCCCTACATGTTGAGGGAGGTACCTGGTAGGAGGTGATTGGATATTGGGGGTGGTTTCCTTCATGCTGTTCTCATGATAGTAAGTTAGTTCTCATGGGATCTGATGGTTTAAAAGTGTGGTACCTCCCCCCTTTTCTCTCTCTCTCCTGATCCACCATGTGAACATGGACCTGCTTCCCCCTTTGTCTTCTGCCATGATTGTAAGTTTTCTGAGGCCTCCAAGCAATTCTTACTGTACAGCCTGCAGCACTTAGAGCCAATTAAACCTCTTCTCTTCATAAATTACCCAGTCTCAGGTAGTTCTTTATAGCAACGTGAAAATAGACTAGTACAACATCCTATTGGTCAACACTTCATACACATGACTAAAACAACCTACTAAGAAAGCTGTGAGAAGCGGTCTCCAGCTGAGATATGATTAGGCTCTGTGTCCCCATCCAAATCTCATCTTGAATTGTACCCCGTGATTCCCATAATCTCCACGTGTCAAGAGAGACCGGGTGGAGGTAACTGAATCAAGGGGGGAGTTTTTCCCATTGTGTTCTCATGATATGAGTGAGTTCTCACAAGATCTGAGAGTTTTAGAAAGGGCTCTTCCCACTTTGCTGAGCACTTCTCCTTCCTGCTGCCTTGTGAAGAAGGTGTCTTGTCTCCCCTTCATCTTCTGCCATGATTGTTAAGTCTCCTGAGGCACCCCAGCCATGCTAGACTTTCAGACAATTAAATGCCTTTCCTTTATAAATTACCCCGTCTCAGTGCAGTTCTCTATAGCAGTATGAAAATGGACTAATACCCACTGGCAGCCATGTGTACACCAAAAACCTACAGGTGCTACATTTTATTTATTTATTTATTATGTTTGTTTGTTTGTTTCTTTGAGGCAGCATCAGACTCTCTTGCCCAGGTTGGTGTGCAGTGGCATAGTCAGGGTTCACTACAGCCTCAACCTTCCCAGGTTCAAGGGATCTTCCCGCCTCCGTCTCCCAAGAGTAGCTGACTACAGCACATGCCAAAATGCCCATCTAATTTTCTGCATTTTTTTTTGTAGACTTGGGCTTTTGCTATGTTGCCCAGGCTGGTTTCAAACTCCTGGACTCAAGTGGTTTGCCCTCCTTGGCCCCCAAAGTGTTGAGGTTACAGGTATGAGCCACTTCACCCAGTCTGGTGCTAAATTTTAAAAGAAAGAGAAAAACCACATCTACAGTTAGTTAGGCATTATTTCTGAGGTAAAGTAAAACACTTTATTTAGAGATAACAGTGTAAATGGAAACTTTCCAATGTTATAAAGGAAAGAAAGAGATGAATGGATAGTATTATACATTCCACTATTTTTATAAAGCTATAAAGTTTCCAGACTAAAGTATTATACCACATGCTATTCTAAATATTATATCAGGAATGAGGGATGGTGCTATGGTCTGAATGTTTGTGTCTCCCCAAAATTTATACATTAAAATCCTGCCCTTCAAAGTAACGATATTAGGAAGTGGGGTGTTTGGAAGGTGATCAGGTCACGAAGGTAGAGTATTCATGAATGAGTTTAATGCCTTTATAAAAGATGTCCCAGAGAGCCTGTCACCCTTTTCACCATGTGAGGACACAGACAGAAGACACCATCTATGAACCAGAAAGTGGGCCTTCATCAGACATGAATCTACTGGTGCCTTGGTCTTCGACTTTCCAGCCTCCAGAACTATGAGAAATAACTTTCTGTTATTTATAAGCCACCTAGTCTATTGTATTTTGTTATAGCAGTATGAATAGGCAACCAACAACCCTGTCTTCAAATATCTAACCATCTAGATATCACAGTAGTTCTCAATAATAGTATACTAGACTCACCTGGAGAAGTTTTAAAATTTAAGACGCCCATGGTGTCCCCAAATGTCTTGTATGAGACTCTGGGGTGGTCCCAGGCTCCAGATTTGGCAGCTCCCCAGATCGTGCTCACCTGCAGCCACGCTGAGGACCACTGGCATGGAGATCATTTTGCCTTCCTGTGCCCATGCTGACACTTACATTTCTTCACAATGAAGCCAGGTGATATGACTGTCACCATGTAGTTGGAACTCTACAATAGTTTTCTGTTGCTTGTTTTAATAACCCATAAAAGTCCTTAAAATGGTTACTTGTCCTGCATAATTTGGCCCTGCCTTCATTTACTTCCTTCTGTCCTATTTCACATTCCTTTAATGATCACATTCTTTTTCAGGCTTTATATAAAGTTTTTAACACCCGCTTCCACTCCACGACCTACATCCACCCAGGTAACTCCTACTCACTCATAGGATCTGGCATCACATGTCAACTCACAGGGAAGTCTTTCCATATCCACTCCTCAGATTACACCAGCACCCTGTACTTTCTTTTCACAGAATTTACAACAGTTTCAGCTA